TTTAGCATACACTCATCAATTAATGTTATAGCATAGTTTATATACAGAAATGTGTACGAATATATGTAAATATTGACCTTAATAAAGTTTGCTAAGCAAGGTTAAGCTAGTTTCAAAAAAAAAAAAAAATATTATAATATTTTTTTTGAAAAATTATAATTTTAATATCTAATAAATTAGTATATAAATTAATTTCTTGTAAAAAACAATATTTAACAAATTATAACCTATATTTAAAACAATCTCAACTTTTTCAAATATATTACTAAACTAATTAAAAACTTTTCTAATCTTATTTTTTTCAATATTGAATAGTTAAGCATAGCTGCTTAGTACCAACTGACAAGATATATTGTTTTAAAATTTTATTTTTAATATTAGTTATTTGGTTTCTATAAGCAAGCTAGCATTAAACTTACTGTACTTACAATTGAGAGATGTTGTTTCTTTCACAATGTATACTTTTAATATACAAATCAAATAAAAAAATGATGTTTACCTATATAAAAAATAAAATAAAATACCTAACAGATTATAATATCAGATATTATATTAATTCTATTTAATTACTTTTATTTAAAATTGAATTAATATTTTATAATTTAAATTTGAAAATATTAACTACTGTATTATTAATTTTTTAAAAATTATTTATATATAATTAATTAACTAACTAAACATTGTTTAATATAATATTTTACTATATATATATATTATATTACAAGAATTGTTTTTTATAACTTATTTTATATATTGTTAAATTATTTTATATTAATTTGTTATTATTAATATAATTGAATTAAAATTAATATATTAAATATTATTAACATTGTTATTATATTTTTGGTTTTATTTTTAACTATAAATATTTTAAAAAAAATTAAATAAAAAAATTGAAAATAGTATTTATTTTAACAAATAAAACTTTATAAAAAAAACTTTTTAGATTTACTGTATATTATTTGTGAATAAATATATTATTTAATTTTTATTCTTTTAAAGTTATTTAAGAATATTTAAAAAATATATTTTATAACTTATTATATATAAATTATTTTAATTATTAATATTTATTGTTGTTTTAATAATTTTTTCAAAATAAGTAATTATTAAAGCAATTTATTATTAAATTGAAATAAGTTTTTTTAATAATTAAAATTCTTGACAATACTATTTTAATATTGAATTTATTATAAGTTTAATATAATAATTTATAAATTATATATAAAATTTATAAGTCAATTTTATTTTAATATTATTTTGATATTAGTTTGAAACTTCACCAATAACTTGTAAAAAAGAATATCAAATATTACAAAAAAAAAATTATCAATTATTTTATTTAAAATCAGTTATTTTAATTTTCAATAATCATTATAATATTATTTAAACAATTTTTATATCATAATACCTTTTTAAAAAATTATAATTTAAAGTTTGTTATATTAGTATATAAATTGACTTTTTATAAAAACAATATTTAACAAGTCATAATATTATATATTATATTAATTTTATTTAACTGTTTTTATTTAAGATTAAATTAGTATTTTATAATTTGAATTTGAAAATATTAATTATTGTATTATTGATTTATAAGGTTTTAGAGATTATATAAAATAATAAAAAAATTAAATAGTGCAAAAAATCTTTTGGATTTCTTCAATTTTCAAAAAATTTTTTTCTCTTTTTATTATTATTGAGAGCAAAAATTCTTTTTTAATTAAAAATTTATTGATTATTTGTTTTCTATATTTGACTCAAGTTTTAAGTTATCAAAAGCAATTTTAACAAATTTAAAAAAATTAATATTAGATGTATTGAATAAAAAATCAATTTCTTTTTTACAAAAATAAAAATTATTTCTGTTAGAATTAACAATATACAAATATTTCCTTCATGTCTATTATATATAAGCCAACTGTAAAGTTTGATTATAAAGACTTAAACTATATAAGAATGAAACTTTGATCAGATTTATTAATTATTAAATTCTGATAATAAAGGTTGCATAGGGAAAGATCTTTGGTTTAACCTCTTTTTTGCTTATATGTATATATAAACTCTAAACAAAAAAATCGAAATTAGTAAATCTCGATAAACAAATTAAATAAAGTTTTTGTGCTTTAATTTTAAAATTATATTGTATATACAATACATAATTGATTTTTATTATTTAAACGGTATATACTGTAAATAATATACGGTAGAAAAGAAAGATTTTCAGGAGCTTAAAAGTTTTTTTCATTAATTTACATTAAAATAATTAATAAAAACATTCTTGGTCTGATTGATGCATTATACGTAATTCACGTGATTTATATGAGATTGACAAGTAATTTCTCAATTATCACAAAAATTATCTCGATAAATATGTGGGTGTATTTTTCACCTACCTCCAGCAAATTGTCACCGCTAGACTTTACCATTTTATGCTGATTGTGAGTAGCACAGGGATGCTCGATTGTTTCTCTTTTAGTTTTACTTTTCAAGTTAACCATACCATACGATTAAGACTTGTCGAAGATCCTGTTCGTCATTTATATGCACGTACACGAAGAAGAAAAAAATCTTTAACAGTTGTTGCATGGCTAAATCATGATTTTTAAACATACTGTATATTCTAAGGATGATTTGTAATCATTAAGTAATGAAAAAAAGAGATCAAAAATTATATTACAGTGATGCATTTCGTGCTTGTATCCTCCGAATCGAGGGATAGACTCTCCTCGCACTCCATAATCTAGGAGTCAAACATAGATATGATTTTTAACAATAAAATATTTGATTTTTATCCGACGGATTCACTGCTGCTACATGCAGTATCTAAACCATTTTAGGGTGATCGGCATCAGTTTAAAATTTATTTCCGAAATTTTATGCACGTTATCATTGTGCCGGTTGATCATCCTTAAAGTGACCCATGATTTGTGCATTCGGAAATAAAGTGCGTTAACGGAGCTCTTTATCAAACGAATAAGAGAAACGGAGTGGGTTATCATTCCTGTTATCAAAGGACCCTAAAGTTGAAATGTCATTATCACGTGTCTTTAGTAAATTCTGGACGTTTTACGAACATCCGACCGTGAGAATTATTATGATCAGCATAATTTAGGGAGGGAGGAAAGTCCCAAAGGAGATTCAAAACTCCTTAGATTTTATTAGAAAGAAAGATTGATAGCTTGGCTGATCCTTTAAAGGTAGGTCATCTGCTTACGATCGTCATTTAGATACAGTATATCGGAGAAAAGGAAATACCGCGTGGAACCGGTGGCATCGTTGCATGAGTTTCTTTATGTATGTACGTACGTACGTATATATTCCATTTTACTTATGTAATAAGGATTTGTGGCAGTGCAATGATAGAAATGGCTTGGGCCAGAATCGAAAAATTACGTATGAACATATACAAAATTACGTACGGGAAAGTTCTAAGAACACCTTGTATCAGATACAAAAACGAATTCAACGTTACGTAATGTATTTTTTAAAATATGGCTGTGCGTTGAAGTTTATAAAGATCATCTAGAAATATCCGAGTTTATAAGGGAATTATAATCAAAAGTTGGCTGTACATCAGAATTAAGTAATTATTAAAAACGTCACATGTGAAGAAATTTATTATATTATCAGGATATGAACAAGAATAGATTAAATATTGACGTGTCGTGTCTAATTTTCACTATAGCTTCTGAGGAGTCTAATAATCACATCTACTCTGGATCTTGATTCTCCCCATCAAACTCGATAGAACTCATACTTAATCCCGGAAGAAACTCCTCATAAATCTTCTTTGCCTGATCATTCCCACTGGCACCTGCGATCACATGCAACGGAACAAAATGTTCAACGGTTGGATGAGCTTTCTTTAATAATGGATGATCTTTAAACATTATCAATTTCTCTTCTCGTTCCTTGCCACTGTATTCGGTTATGCACTTTTCAACGTCTCGGTCAAAGGATTTGGAGTAGGACAGTGCATCATTATTTCCAGAGAAAAAGGCACGGAGATTGTGAACCATTGAGCCGGAACCGATTAACAGGACATCCTCGTCTCTGCAAAATACGTACATGTATTATTGTTATTAGCGAGACTTCTGGAATGCGTTGAGTAACTTGACGCATCATACTATGCATAAAATTTACCTCAATGGTGCTAAAGCTTGACCAACCTTTACATGATATTCAAAAGGCGCACGACCATTAAGAGATACTTGAACAATAGGTAAATCCTTTGGTTCGGGAATTGCGACTTTCAATGGTATCCACACACCATGATCGAAACCACGTTTTGTATCAATTGTAACATTAAACTATTTGGAATTTCGTATTTTAGTTATTTGATGAATTGAGAGAATGATGATGATAGAAAGAAATCGATGAAGGGAAAACCTGAGGAGACAACAGATCCACAATTCTTTCAGCTAACTTCGGTGAACCTTTGCCGTGATAAGTTAGCTGATACAGTTCTTTAATAGGTATGCCAAAATCATAAATTATTGGTGTTACTCTTTCGAAGCTTCCAACTATTTGATTTAGGAAAAAAATTTTTTTTTGTCTTTTAATCAGTGATACGAAATTCTCTCACGGGATGTTAATTATGTATTTTATTAGAATGCATACCCCTGATGCCTTCCGATGTTTCCCAATGAGCTGATATAACCACGATGGCTTTTGGTTTGATCTCTTGGATAATTTTACCAAATCTTTGGAAGAATTTATGGCCTCCTGCATCATATTCGATCGCTAAATTTGGACCTATCAAACATTAAGAGATGTAGTGGAAATGTGATGAAAATATTGAATTGATCCTGCGTTGAACATTCTCCTGATCAAGATATATCGCCGACTTCTAGGCAAGACTTACCCCCATGAGAAATATAGAAACAAGGTAGTTTATTGTGCATTTTTACGAATTATGTACTTTCACGGTTTTTACGAATTGTGTATTTATATCTAATAATTTGTTTATTTTATTTTTTTTACGAATTATTATTTCGAATTTTTTTATTGAATATCTCGTTCGCCGCGTATTTATACATTTCTTGCATTGAATTAGAAAGCTAGAATTAATAATGTTAATACTGCATATATTTGTAATCAAATTATAAATACAAAGTCAGGTGATTTTGTTTTTAATAATAAAATGGATATTATAAATCATCGCTATTATTTATATATACGTAATCAGAGATGGCGTAGATTATTTATATGATCTTCGTTAATTACACAAAGTCTTAGTCAAAAATATACAAGTTCCTTTAAGTAAAAATGTTTTCGAGATTTCTATAAACAAAACAATATATAGAATTGTATAAAAATAAAGTTTCCTTATGAAACATAATGCTTTTAAAAATGACAAATATTTTATATCTTTTCTTGTTAAAAAATAGTTTAATAGTTACTTCAAAATGAAATTTTTCGATAAAATGCATTCTTAAAAAGCCTCATATATTATAAACATAGCAAGAAAAATTAGAACAAATGATTTTTAACAATATGTAAATTATTTTTTTTTGTTCTTTTGTATCGATTATACTATTGATTACAAATTTGTTTTAATATTCAATATTCTATATGTTGTGATAGATCTACTAACTTATTAATAATTTTCTTAAACAATACAATAGAATTCTTATATATTTTAAACTGTTTTAAAATCTGGTTTTCGATATCAGTAAGCTTGTATATTATATATTTATTGGATATGATGTTTAAAACATAAATTTTGAAAATAAACTAGTTTCATTTAATTATATTAATTATAAGAATCCCAACAATTTAATTTAATTTGATTCTAATTCTTAGGTTTATATTAAATTTAATATATGGATTATATTTCACTATAATTTTTAATGATGTTTCAAATATCATATAAGTCTATATGAGTTTATATAATTAAATCTATACAAATGTAATATTTAATATATAAAAGACATTATAATGTTAAAATTAAAAAAAAACAAACTTTATTAATATAAGAAAAATCAGATAACTTTGTTATTTTCTAAAGAAAAAAAAACTTTCTTATATAGATAATTTTTTATATAAATAAATAAAATAATAATATATAATATAATATAATATATATAATAATCTTATTAGTTCAATAATTCTTATAATGATTAGAATCCTAGTTTAAACTATTTCAATTTGATGCAAAACTTAAATGATTATATTAATTATAAATAATAAAAAGAGTTATAATTTGATGCAAACAGTAGTCTAAAATTTGAATTATAAGATAAAATAAAATATTTAAACTAACTTCCTAATCAAGATTTTTTTTGTTAATTAAAATAAAACAAATTAGATAATTTAAAACTGAAAATAGAATTTTTATCCTTTATTAATATATTTTCTGATACTATAAAATAAAATTATTTAAGAATAAATAAGCTGAATATCAAAAAAAATTACTTTGTTTGAAATAATTTAATAATTTGTATAAAATAGTATATATAGTTATTAACTTGTACAAATTTTTTAAATATAATTTGAATATTTAATATATGTATATCAATAAAAATAGTATTTTATTATACTTGATCATTCTAAAAAAAAATCTTATTGATCTTTCAAAAATTATATGCATATAATAAAAAATAAAAATAAAATAAAAACAAATAAATTAATACAATATTAAACTATTTATATAAATATTTCTTATAATTCAAATAAATAAAGTAAGATTAATAATAATAATAATATTGTTATTTTATCAGATACCAATAATAATTTTATTTTTAATTTGGATTCTAAATATTACATATTATATAATTTGTATTATATGATATAGAAATACAGAGGATAGACAAAAGTTTATAAACAACTTTTTTTTTTTAAAAATAAAATTTAATTTAAAAACTAATTAAACTTTATTAATAAAAAATATACTCAATACATATATG